GAAATACAGACCACTTCGAATTATTTTATTCGATTATGGTAACGTGTCTATCACGTTGAGGTTAGCTACGCCGGGATTCGTTTTAGCAAGTAGATATCCATATAAATGGACCATGTTGGAGCATACGTAATCCTAAAATGTAGCATCGCACTACAGATGGCGTTTACTGTGCCATTTGTGGTATTTTCTAAAACGTACTGTTAAGATAGCAGGTAAAAGTTGATCTGTGTTCTGTCGGAGCTGTCTGCGACGCGCTGATGAGATCTAAAAAGATCGAAATCGCGATCCGCGTCTGTTAGTTTCGACAGAATACAGACTGCTTCGAATTATTTTATTCGACATTAATGTAAAGAGAAGGTACAAATATTTCATTCAAGTTCGGATTTGCTTCCCCAGAAGCATCAGAACCCTCGGCAAAATGTATCGGTTTGTCAAAATGTGACCTTGCTATGTCGAACTTAAAATATTTGTATAGTTTTTTAATATACTGTGGGATATATGAGGCAGAGTAGTAAAGCGAGGACATGAATGCAGTTAATAGAATAAAGAAATGTGTTTGTATAGTGTGCAAATCTTAAATAAGGGGAGTTAACCTGCTTGTGTGCTTTCCAAGGGGCCAAACCGAGCACAGCAGGAGTTAATCTATTAGCAAAACATCTCATTAATAACGTGTAAAGGCGAAGAAAAAATCGATTAATGATTTGTATTGAGTTTTTGATGGAAAACAACGTAAAAGAAAAAGTTAAGAAAAGAAAAGTGAAAGGCCCGGAATTGGTAAGAAAACAAAAAACAACAGACTAGGGAGCTAAATAAAAATACTATACAGAGGAATAAAAGAGAAATTAATAGAATAAGTGAGCCGTTGGAATATTTAAAAAGTAAAGAAGAGAGTGAATTAACGGAGAAAGAAAGGAAAGAAATGGAAGAGCTACAAAACCATGAAGAACTAGTAAGATGGAAGAAATAAAGGAGCAATGTATAATAAAAAAACTGTAAGCAATGGTTTAAAACGAAATGATGAAAGCAGAAATAAAGGAAATGGTACTAGAGAAGCTGGAGACAGAACAGCATATGGAGAAACAAGCAGAGGAACAAAAGAAAAGAATAAAAAAATGGAAATGGAACTGGCAAAGAAAAGAAAAGAAGAGAATAAAAAAACAAAAGAGGGAGTTGGAAAGATTTATAAAAGACAAGATGGGGCAGAAGGTAGAAGTAAAGGAAGAAAGTTAAAAAGGTATATAGGGCAAAAATGGAGAAGTGGGAAAAAAAGCTGTAGGTGATTAAAAACAGTACAAATCTTAGAGGGACGGAGGTTTATTTATTAACGAGGTGTAAATCTGTTACAGATTACCTGATTACAAATGGTAGGGAATGGGAACAAATACTGAATTTTTAAGTTAATGAAATGATAGACTGAGATACCCTTACCTTTAGAAATTGTCCTAAAAGAAAGAAAAGAATGGAGACGTGAAATCGTACATAAGGGACTGTTTGATTGGGGGAAGAGAGCAATAGGGGAGTTTAGGAAGAGAGTAAGGGAAAAGGTTGAAGAAATAGAGGACTGGAAAGATATGATTAAAATGATGATGATGAGAGAGTTAATAGAATAAAGGTGTGAATAATGGTGAAACGAGGGTTTTTTGGAAAAAAGGAGTATGAAGATATATTGAATTAATGGAGAAGGGATCAGTGTGGAGATGAGTAGAGAATAGATAAAAAAAAATAAGGAATCCAGTGTAAAATTAATAAATGACTTAAAGGCTACGAAACGTACGAAGCGGTTTTGGAGAATTATAAATGGATATAGGAAATGTAACAAAGCACAAGTGAGTGGTAAGATTGTAAGAATGGATTTAACACCTGAAAAGGATATTGGAAGGAAGTGAAGAGATGGTTAGAAGTGTTTGGAATACTCGAGGAAAGGAATCAGGAAGAAGAGAAAGGGTTAGGAACAGAGAAAATTATAAAAGGAATAGAGGCGCTCAAACGAAAAAAGCGGTGGGACTACAGGGAATTCCTGGGGAGACATGCAACAGATTTGGTATTGGAAAAATTGTACAAAATTATGGAATAGATATGGAAAGAGAATGTGTTGACGGAAGCATGGAATGGTATTTAAGAGGGGACAAAGGATTGTGTGGAAAATTATAGATGTATTGTAATTATGAATACGGGGTAAAATATACACGAAATGATAAGAAATAGTCTATAGGAGCAAATTATTAGAAAGTAGGTATTAAGCAAGACGCAATTTGGTTTCAGAAAAAGAAGGGGGTGATAGATACGATTTACATGCTAAAAAATATGATACTGATACTGTTGGAGAAAAAAACGAGTATATTTGATGTTTGTAGATTTAGTAAGATATACTAAGATATTTAGAAGGGAATGGAATAAACGTGATAACAAAATTTAGGACAGGGATTGAGTACGGGGAATGCAAATTTTAGAAAAAAGAAGAGGACAAGCAAGTAGAATAAGTGACAGAGAGGTAGAATGTCTGAAACATGTGTTAGGAGGATGTGAGATAGTAGAACTGCCATTAGTTGGTGAATGACGATAGGGGTGGGCTGGGCGAACTGAAAGAAAGTTTAAGAAATAGGGGGTCGTTTTGGACTAATATAATTAAGTTAATAACTTCTGAAATGTACAAATTATTTAGGTTTCGATCAAATTTATATAAAAGTGATTGAACACGTACACGTTACGCGTTACCTCGTAGTTCACGATCTCTCTTCCTTTAGTGTTAACGCTACTGTAGCTAAAGCAGTGATCGTAAAATTTGAAAACATATTTGAGTACTAACGCACGATTCCCACTGCCTCACAGATGTACGTAAAAATGACTCGCCACAGTACGACTTCAACGTCTACGAATAGAGAATAGTACGTATCTCGTATGAAGCTCGTCTCACATGTCCCGTGTTCGTTTCGTCAATGTGTGGACAAACCCTATCATTGCCTCCCTTAATGATGATTCTATAAAACGTAGCATATGTTTTAAAGTATTAGGATTTAGCCACTATAACAGAACATATTGGTCAACTGTATAAAATAATTAAAACGCTAAAAACACAGAGGCAACAATAAATGTAGTAATCTTCTAATAATGCTACTTCATTTAGCACTGGAAATTATTAGAACGTATCCCTTGTGTTAAGCAGAGTCTTACTGTATACTTATTTGTTTATTTATTGTTCACGTATTATTTTTATTATAAAATACAATGTCTTCTTCTGCCACAGAGGTACCTTACTGCATTCATACTGTACATTACAAAAACATTGACTACAACTAGGCTATCAATCATGTACCTGGCTATTTAAGTTAAACCAAGGACGGAGCCCCGATAGTGACTGACGATGCTTTTACGTGGTAGAAATGTAAAAATGAACAAATTAGCGGAACTTTGTCACCTCGCAACTCAAGGCCAAGGTTCATAAGATTGTAAAGTACTCTACCAAGGTAGAGTAAAAGAATTGTGATGCAAGGCTACGAAAAGTCAACGAAAGTCAACATGAAACAACAGTTTATATAAATTCGAGAAAAAGTAAATGTTCTAGAGATTTTTACATTGTGGACATGAAACGTTTGAGAAAATTAAAGGAGACAGGGGTAGATATAGATTCATGAGTTTCATTCTGAAATATTCAATAATCATGATTAAATTCCTTATATGTATATAAGCTAGATAAGCATCACACTACTTATTTATAACCACTAACTATTAACATTAAAACATCCACATGAGCAGAGACAGAGAGAAAAGCTAATCCTAACTAATATTATAAATGCGAATGCCAGTTTGTTTGTTTGCTATCTTTTCACACTTTAACTACTCAACCAAACACATGAAATTTTGTACACACATTTTCGGCGGTACAGAAAAGCACATACGGTACATTTTATCCAGAAAAAAAACCTGTTCCTGAGGGATAGAAAAAAAAATTGTGGTCAATCGATCATCATGAAATTTTGTAGATATATTGTTTGGAGTACAGAAAAGGACCTTTTATCCAGAAAAAAAAATACTGTTTTCGAGGGATATAAAATTAGTTTAATATCATCGATTTCACGCCTACTACTCAATCGATTATCATGAAATTTTGTAAATTAGATTATGTGGTAGTCGCATGATGTTTGACACATATTTAGGACACTAACGCGAGCGAAGCCGAGGGTAAAATCTAGTACTTTATAAAGTAACAAATTACCAAGACCATTCTATCTGTAAAATTTTCATCATATTAATTACAGATGCAAATATTCTCAAACATTATAGTTAACTCCACATATTATATTTTTATTTTAGTTTCAAATAAAAAGGTTATACCTCTTTTTTAGGACTTAATGGAACAGCAGCGATGCCAGTAGCAGGTGCTCTTTCATAATTTTTTGCTGTAGATGTATGAAATTGCTGTGAAATATTTCCAGTCATACAAACATAATCAGATGCATTTATTTCATCCAACTGCTGCTGTGTTAGATTTTTTATTGGCAATTTTGAAGTTGGTATCTGAGGTGATGCTTTGCACAGATGATTTGATAGTTTAGAAGAATAAAATTGCTGATGTCTAGGGTAAGAAGAATATGGAGGTGGAGGTTGACGTGCTGTCTCATTCATAGAAACCTACAATTATTTTAAGCATTTGCAAATTTGGATGACAACAAGTATACATTTCAAGTTTCATTACCTTTGACAATTCATGAACATTTTCATATACAGACAAATTCTCTATTCCTAAATTACTGTTATTTGTTTTATTTCCAGAAGGAACTTGAGGTTGAGCTTTTTGAAATTCCTTGTTACCACTTATTTCATGATAATACGGTGCTGTTTGAGACTTGTTCATATAATAGTCTATATTTTCATAAAGTGGTGTATTAAACGATTGTGAATTTTCAAAATCAGAATTTTTATAAATTGCACTTTTAGGTTTAGCACACTGAACGTACACATCATTTTCTTCCAATGGATTTGTTTCTTCTTTTGAAATAGAATGAACCATATCTTTTTCACAAAATGTATAGTCATTTAAGACATGACTTGGAGAGGATTCAGTAGAAAAAGCTTCTGTCGAATCTAATGAAGCTTGTTTCCTATGAAACGGTTTTATTGGATGTAAATCGGCTTGTAAATCGGATTTGCTTTGGGGAGCCAAATCAGTTCGACTACTCATTGATAAGTTTTGAATTTTAGTTATAAATGATTGATCCATGATAGTCTTTACCTACTTAGCAATATATCAACCATAAATACCAATAATTATAGTAATTTCATATTACAGTTTTACTAACAAATTCTGGTTCATGTTTCTGCATAGTGTAGGGATAAGGGGTGTATCACCTGTTCCTTTACACTGTAACTGTAAGCAACACTGACCGTGTAAGCACTAACTAAACTAACACAAAAGACAACGCAATTACTTTGAATTACTAGTGAAAGAAAGACCAAAATCAATATTACTGAATAAAACGGTATAATAACAACTCCTTTAGCTGCATGGTAGCTGCTTTGTTTTTATGACATACGAATACGACTATACGACATATACATTGACAAGACGTATGATACCTATTGATACCTAACATAGACAAAATATCTATGCTATGCATCATAGACAACCTATGAATAATACTTATAAACCATATGAATACCTCAGCCATGTGAAACTGGCACCCGATACGAATAATCCTCTGATTAAGACTTTACGAATAAATTTTGCATCGTTTGCGGGTTCTAAATATGTAAGTAGAGTAATTGTGCGCCCACTAGTCTTTTTAGACAAAAAGGAAAATTGTTTCAGGTGCAAGAGGTTATTCAATATCGATTTACTAAACAACTACTGAAGATATCATAATTTAATTTTTGCCGAACGATTGCGCGTCATTTGTGCTTGAAGAATTAGCTATCTATGCTTAACTATTTATAGCAGGTGGAATTTATCTTTATATTATTTATTAGTACTAATAACCTATACTTAATTTTTTATTGATACTACTACGCGTGCGCCATTGGTGAGAAAGTGGAAATAAGAATTAAAAACTACTAACATAACTAAAACTAGCAATACTTATCGCAATTTGTGGCAACACAACTGAAGGAAGTGCCCGTAGGGAGGCAGAGGTTATCAGTCACTGTAAAATTGTGAAAATTGTACTTACAATAATATAGCGAAAAATGCCTCAACGTATACAAAATAAAAAAAATGTATATTTAGTATGAAAGTTGGTGATTCTGTGTTAATTTGCAGCTCAAAAATATTTAGTGTTTTTTCGGTTTTCTGTTCTATCGCGGTCAGTTTTACAGCTAGAACAATATTTTTTTTTTAATTAAAAGTTTTTTGATTCCCTACAAGAGAGTATTTTTTAAATTATTGTCACGTATTTAGACACCTTCTCGCACTATTACTACTTTTATTTAGCTTTTTGCTGTCTAATTAACACTTCTATTATTAATTAGATTCACCACTCTGTACAAGAATGATTCAGAATATGCCGTCTAGAAAAAAATGGCTTTCTTTGTCTTAATTCAAAGAGCTAAAAGCGTTAGAAAACATAAAAAATTAATTAAGAAAAACGAAAGATAACGTTGTCTCGACAGGCCTCTTCAATTTTTGGTAAAACTTCCTAATCGCGACTTTTTCGAAAATGCAACTTTTTTTACATTTTTTGACACAAGAGAGTTAAAGATGTATCTCCTATTTCCTTCTTCTACTCTCTATGGTATAACCAGTACCAGTCACATATTAGTTGCAATAACCAGTCAGTTTTATCCGGTCTTGTTCTTATCCCTTATCTATGCCAGTCAGAGTCAGTCAGGAGGCAACTGACTTGCCTGTCGACTGTCGCATTTGTCGTGTGTATGTTTCGTGGTTTTGTGCACTTTACTAAGCTGTATTAAAAACGCAGTCTTTAAAAAGTTATGGATGTAGAAAATTCTGTAAACGAAGACTTTTCTGATTCAGTAAGTAGACGATTTTTGTGACTTATAAACACCATTTCTATATCGAGGCGTTGAAATCTGTAATCACTGAGCGTTTGTAAATGTGTGAAATTTTTCTAAGTCCCAAAATGGCGTCAGAAAATCCTACAAAAACACGTACAATATTATGCCATTTCATTTTAGTTACATGTAATTTTAAAAATTAGCATGACTTTTAATTTGATGTTGTAAGAATATATGATATTTACTGATATATTAATATGAAATTTTATTTCATATTTAGAATAAAAGGAATAAAGAACGTAACCATGTGAATGGAATAAGTAACGGTTATTCAGATAAACATAAAAGTCATAAATCGGACCACAAAGACAAGCATCGGGATAAAGATCGTGATAAATCTAAAAATAAGGATCATAAGAGTACTAATAAGGACAAAGATAGGCATTCCTCTAATTTGAATGACAAACACAGTTCACATAAGTTACCCAGTAAAGAAAAGGAACGAAACAAAAAAAGCGATAGAGAAAAAGAACGTGACAAAGAAAGATACAAGGAAAAGAATAAAGATGATAAAAAATCTAGCTCATCTTCAAAAAATAAAGATCACAAAAGCTCAAAAGATAGGGACAAAGACTATAAATCCAAAGATAAAGAACGAGACCGGGATAAGGAGAAAAATGAAAAGGATAGACATAAGGATAAAGAAAAACATGGTTCATCAAAGGATAAGGACCACCATAAAGATAAAGTTAAAGACAAATACAGGGACAAAGAAAAAGTAAAGGACAAAGAAAAGCATGGCAGTTCAAAAAGTAAAGAAAAAAGGGATAAAGAGAAAAGAACTGAAAGAGTTAATGAAGGTACTTTTTTTATTAATTCGATCTTTCATACATACCTATCTGAGTTAGAATATGTACAGAAAATACTTAATTTGAAATTACCTACATACCCAATTAATTAACATTTCAACTTAATAATCCCAATAATTTTTCTCTATTTGCTTATAAAATAATTCTAATGCCCACAATTTATTTGCATTTAGAAATACTTGCTGCTGCCCTCATGAACTTTTATTAGTTTAGAAACATTGCAAATTCATCTTTCTCTTCTAAGTTTCATTTCTTAAATAACTAAACCATGGAACTTACTGAACAGGGAGCAGGGATGTGAGCATTCCTAATACTGATAATATCTAATAAACTCCACCGAATGTGCTATTATTACTTACAAATATGTTAATAACTTGTCACCACTGAAATTTTGTTTATTTTTTTTCTTTTTCTAATGATTTCTTGTCTTATTTATTTTACATATTTTTCCTTTAAATACTTATTTAGTCCTATATATATATATATATATGTTCCTGTAGTAGATACATAAAATATATTTAAAATTTTGACGGTTATTTCAATTCAGTATGTGTGTATTTATTATTTTATATGTTTAATATAGCTAAATTAATTTTATATTAGTCATTTTAACTATAGTAAATTTAAAAATTGTAGATGATTTACTTCCAAAAGAAGAACTAAAAAATGAATTTAAATATGATTCTGAATCTGCCAAAGAAGAATCTGTAGATGATGATGAACATAAACTTGTAATAAAAGAAGAAGCTGATGATTTTAACAATGATTCAACAGCAAGCAGTTGTGACTATAGTTTGTCACAATTTAAAGATGAACCTCAATTTACTGATGCAGAAGAAGAAGCTGATGATCCACAAAGGGGAGTTAAAAAAGAACAATATGATGACGATGATGATCTGCCACTGGTATAAATGCTTTTATATTTTTGTATTTTTTCAAATATTTTTGAATTGATAAACAATTTTTATTATCAGGTTACAAAAGAAAATGTTAACTGTCAGTTATTTCCCAAAATGTAATTAAAAATGTTCATTTTGGCGTTTTACTTAAATTTTAAGTGCAAATAGATAATCAATATAAGTAAATTTTATTAAAGGAGTTGATTAGTAATGTTCTGAATTTTATAGGCAAATTGTTCAAAAAATTCTATGAAACGGAAAATTGAGTCAGAAGATGATGACGACGATGTGCCTTTGGCCAAAAGAACAAAAATTAAAAAGGAAAAGGATAAGGAGAAAAAAAGAAAAAGGACAGAGGATGATGAAACTGAATATAAACCAATAAAAAAGGAGAAAAAAGATAAAAAAGTAAAGAAGGAGACTCTTGACATATCTCCAAATTTAAAGAAAGGAAGTAAAAAAAAGAAAGAAGAAGAGACTCAGGAAGTTTGGAAATGGTATGCAAATAATTTTATTATTAATAACTTAAAAATTGCAATTATATTACATTACACAGAAAATTTTATGTATGTGATTATTACTCGAGTTCGGATTATCTCCATCATATCATTATCATGAGGTCGTCAGTCATAAGACTGGCTGGACACGCACCTCCACTCTTTCCTATTCTGAGCTAATCTTCGCATTTCCCTAAAACTAGAACAACCTACATCCTTAAATATTTGCGAGCGGTAATAAAAAAAATAGCAAATATACTCATGTAAATATGCTTAAAAAAATCATTAAAATATACAGTAATACATATATATCAAAGCCACAAAGAAAACTTCAACACTTTCGTTTAGTGATATAAAAACAACATTGCTCTAGAAAATACCACAAATGGCGCGGTAAACGCCATCCGTAGTACAATGCTACATTTTAGGATTACGTATGCTCCAACGAGGTCCATTTAAATATATGGATATCTACTTGCTGAAACGAATCCCGGCGTAGCTAACCACTACGTGATAGGCACGTTACCATAATCGAATAAAATAATTCGAAGTGGTCTGTATTCTGTCGAAACTGCCAGACGCGGATCGCGATTTCGATCTTTCTGGATCTCATCAGCGCGTCGCAGACAGCTCCGACAGAACACAGA